CTGAGTAACAGTCACACTCTCCCCAAGAGTTTTTAAAAAGAATTAAAAGCTCTCAGAATGATCCCTGGTCCTTATAAGGTGGTCATATCTAATCAGTTAGGGAGGTCAGGTGGATAGGCCCGCCGGAAAAGCTCCATCTTAAGTGCCTTCTTATAGGCCTCTAGCGTGGAAATAAGATGAATCTCCTCTGGCAGGCCATTCCATAACTTGGGGGCCACAGCCATGAATGATCTTTGGGAAGTAGATATTAATTTAGTTTTACAGTAGTTTAGTAAATATTAACTTTATTTAATAATATGTAGCAAGAATGTAGCTTATGTAAAATATTTTCACATATGGTATTGTTACAGTAGTTACACTGAATCAACAATTCAGGCATTTCTCCATTCTAATGATATCCATTAAACTTCCTGAATAGATCTCTGACTTCACTCATCTGCCTAACTCTCTCTACTCTCTCAGTGGAGCTCTAACTGAACATTCAATTGAACTCTTCTAAACTAAAGTGTTCTCTTCTTCCCCTGAACTATTCTCTTCTGCCCTCAAACTATCACTCACTCATCCCTTTTATATCTACTCATTCCATGGCAGCCCCCCCCCTACAGCCAGCTTGAACCAGGATTGGCTGTTGAGAAATCATATCTGTCCAGTGACTCCATCACACCTGTATATTCTCTACACTTTTGAATATGTAGGGATCAGGAATAAGAATAAATTATGAATGTGTAATTCTAGTGCCAGCATGGTGCAATGGTTTGAGTATTAGACTATGACTCTAGAGACCAGGTTTTGAATCCCTGCTCAGCCATGGAAGCTCACTGAGTGAACTTGCTCAAGTTATCCTCTCTAATCTTCAGCGGGAGGCAAACACAAACTTTGGTCTGAACAAATCTTGCCATAAAAACCCTATATAGACTTGTCATAGGATTGCCATAAATCAGAAATGGCTTGAAGGCACACAACAACAGCAACATTTCTAGAATGAGTTGGAACTGTAATTGTGAATTCCAACCACAAGGATTTCTTAAGCAATATGTCTGTGATTAAACAATTTGATTTTCTTGAGAAGAACTCGATTTAACTCTGAAAAAAATTGGAGACAAGGCTTTATTAATTTTGATTATGTCTGTCATTTGAGAACATTGCTGTTTCCCTTATCTCCAGATAAACAAATTGTGCACATAGGCTCAGTGTCAGGGATTGGTGTGAGTGGGCAGATATTGAGGGCCCACAGGTTCAGAAGTGCCCATCTTTGACCCTGCTGTACTCTCCACCATTGAGCCTACCATCATTACATCTTCATACCATCCAACTAATTAATCCTTGTCATCTCACTTTTGCAGCTGCTTTTAAAATGTCCTAGTTCTTCTCTCCTTCTTCCACTTTCCCCCTTTTTGTCTTCAGCTTACTGAAAACTGAGTTCAAAGTGGAAAATAGTAAAAGAGAAAGAAGATGTAGAGGCAAAATCCTACTATATGTATTCTTTCTCATCACAAACTTTTTCCACGTTGACCATAACCTTATGTTGCTTGGTCATGTGTGTCCTAGTTTTCAACTTATAAATGTTGGAGGGCATGCGTCAGTGGCACTACTGCAGCTTCTCCTGCCATCTTCCTCAGCAGTAACTCACTTCTTCCCCCCCCCCTCCAAACAAATTCCTTGATGCATAGTGGCAGTGTCACCTCAGAATGGGAGCCATTGATGCAGCCTGTCCACCATATTAGACTCTGGAAAATACAATGCTTGATCCAAAATTGAGCTGGGCATTATATTTTAGGAAATCTAGGGCTGCTGTATTCCTTTCCCTCATATTTAAGCATCTAATTTGCATATCATGTAATTATGCATATAATTAAATTGTATTCCAATTGTGCAAATTTGCCACCCTAATCATTGCACTTTATTATACCATTATGTTTCAACCTCAGTACCAGTACCAAGCTAAGAGCGCTTTTCTTCTTCTTTCCCTCCCTAGCTGTTGTGAAGAGAGGGAGGCTACCAAGCAGTCCCAGAGAGTAAAGAGGTTCCCTTTACTCCCTCCAGGCTGTTTGAAAGTGAAGTTCTACTGTGATGCCTAGCCCTGGGATCAAACAATAGACACAATCACCACACAACACATCTCTGCTCATCTCCTTTTCTTTTCTGCCTTCTGGGCCTGTTGGAAGAAATGGGGAGGGAATGGAAGAATGAAGTGGCAATACTATGGAGATTATTGCACCCAAGAATCTCCGTTTCCTGCTTCATTGGCACTATTACATTTTGACCTACCCAGCCTGCAAAGAAGAAGGAATCCAGGATTTACTATTTTAGCTGGCCTAACCATCTGAGACATTTTTTAATCCTTTCAGTCTGGGATTTTGAAGGTTTTCCAGGACAAATGGCAACCTTAAACTCAGCTCCTGTTTGAGAGTGCCACTACCTCATCGGGAAATGTATTGTGTCTGTCCTTTTCTGGGATGACTTAATGGGAGGGCATGGCCGGGGTTGAGGTGGAAGGCCAATCAGTCAGTTGAGAACCCATTGCTAACAGTATGAAAAGGGTTCATTGAAGTCTGACACTGGACATGCTTATAGACATCTGATGCCCTGGCTTCTCCTGTGTCTAGTTTCCCCATGTTTTTGACTTTTAAAAAAATTGAAGCTAATCTTATTTGTATAGGAGAGATGGTAATATTTTGTGTAGATGTGGTTTAAAAAGTGATAGGTTCTGAAACAGGGCAATTAATTTAACTTAAAAAAAAACAACAAACTGTGTGTTCCCACAGGAAGCCACTTAAAAATATTGGACTTAGGGCCTTTGCAGACTGCCAGAAATAGTGCACATTAAATTGAGGCACTGCCCTGGCTCAGTGCTAGGGAATCATGGGAACTGTAATTTATTGTGGCACCAGAGCTCTCTGACAGAGAAGGTTCAATGTCCCAGAAAAAAATACAGTTCCCATGATTCCCCAGCACTGAGCCAGGGCAGTGCCTCAATTTAATGTGCACTATTTCTGGCAGTCTGCTTAGGCCTTTAGTTTGGAGTGAAATTATTTTTGTGCTGCATGTTATGACTGTTACCTGGTATCAATTGTCTGGGAATGTCTGTAGCATGATTTCTTCCTTCTCAGTGTGTTTATAATTTGTTTCTAAGGCAACTGTGTGTATTCATTTCTTAATTTTAGGAATTAATACAAAACATCCTGTGAGTGCAAGCTATCCAAATCAAAAAGAGAAGCTGGCAAAAGAGGATGAGTGCAAAACAACTGATGACAGTGATCGTTTTCTGGCTGAAGGTCTTCAAGTGGAACCTGGACAGTCATCTGTTGGTTTTTCTAGCACAGAGCTGAGGGTTACTTCTGACAGCCTACAAAGTCCTTCCAGATCTTTGATTATCTGATTCTGAAAAACAGCTCTTCAAGATGGTTACCAGTACATATAAAAAGGATACAGGAAGCCTAGCTGTGTTACATAATTGTATTGTTTTAGAATGTATGCTGAATGCAAGTAAAACATTTATTCATCCATGCATCAATCTGTAGACAAAATAACTCAGATTTCTCTTCCCAATCACACTAAAGTGAAGCATACCCTAAAGTGAAGAAAGGATTGCCCTAAATGAATATCCTGTGAATTCATCTGGGTTTCAGGTTATGGATTTACTGACTCATCTTAACTGCAGCTGGGGATTTCCCCCAAACAGAAGATTCAAACTGAATTTGAATTAGTATTCCTTAGTTGGCAGTTCTGGAAAAAAGGTGAAATAAGAGCCAGCTATAATAGGTGTAAGAGCTATAATAGAACTATAATAGTTCTGTTTTTCTGAGATGGAATTAATTCCTAACCAGATGGATAAGTAAGACAAGAAGATCACAACAGAGATAGTTTTGATGAGCTATAGAGAAAGAAACAAAATGGAAGAGGGAAGGGGAGAGAGAGAGACAGAGACAAACGCAAAGGCAGAGGCTTTACATTTTTTACCGTTAGTGTTATGATATTTGCAGCAATGTATTTTTCAATTTTATTTTACATAGAAGTGCAGACAACAAAAATGACAAGTACAGATAAACAAATGAACAAAAGAACAATTAAATAAATACAACATCAATGTACAAAGACTACACCATAGCACTATAATATCATCTGAAATTGACGTTCATTCTATCCAAATGCATCATTCCAAATGTTTCCATGAGTTATGGGAGGTTGTTTCCATGTGTCCCCGTGTTTATTCCTTTGTTTATTCCAGCCATAGGAGCTGTGGCTCAGAAAGGAAGGAGACATGCTGGATTCCAAGGAAACATCTTCTTTGAATCACAAATGGACATTCAATTTCCTTGAATTTGAAAATCTGAATGGCCATAGGGGGAGGTGCCAGCCTGCAGGTAGCCCACCCCTAACATATGAATTAAGATCAGAAACAGAAAATGTAGGCCTATGACTAACATCTTCAATTTTTTTTATCCTGTTTGCCTGATGAAGAAGCCAGTGTGACTTTAAAAGCTTGCAACATATAATTGTGCATTTTGGTTGGCCTAGTAAAGGTATCATTGTTTGGATGGTATTGGATGTGTTTATTCCTATAACTAATAAAAGGAAACCAAATTTCTGTAAAGTTGTGTATTAAGAACTTGACCTTGGGGAATTTTTAATTAGCTCAAAATTAATAAGCAGGATCATAACCCAATATGTACAGGGAGGGGGAGGAGAGAGAACCTTAACCGAGGCAGCATTCTTCCAAAGAATGATACTTTCATTAAGGGAGAACACACTTGTTTTGTGTTCAACAAGTGAACACACACATACACACAGAAGATACATGGAATCTGTAAGAAAGGTTTCATATACAGAATAGTTACCTACAATCTCTGCACTCCTGTAGTGAAGATGGACTCAGCTACTTATGGAGTGAAGTTGTGATGGACACAGCCAAGGGAGACTGGATAGGAATTTCAGGGAGGGCATGAGATCCCCCCCTTCCCTTACAAAAACCAGCTCACAGAACACAGATTTGGAGGTCTTAACATAGGCTGAAAATAGCCTGGGACATAAATTGATTATTATATATCAAATTATTGCAGATAGGTTGTCTTTGAAGTAGACAATTTCCAAAGAAGGGAGATGGGATGTTGATGTTATCTTATTCTTCGTCAGACACATCCTGGTTGTAAATGTCTGTGTCTCCAGAATTCAGAGGGTGTGAATGTCCTGCTTTGCAGCTCCTAACCCTGGTCTTTTGATCTGCTAATTCATTGTAGAGGCAGATGTGACCTCTCAGGTGCCTATGTGAGGTCCTTGCTTTGGATCCATGACGGTTGGGCTTTTCTGGTTTAGGGCCATGACAGGAGACCCACAAAAGGGGTTTTATATTAAAACAATGCTTATAACAGTTGTCTGCATCTTGATTAAATTCTTTATCTTTATACATTAGTCTTTCCAGTACATCAAGATCCCAGACCTTAGCATACCATTTGTTAATATTTAAATTGTCAGCTGTTTTCCAGGTACAAGCTATCAACTGCTAACAATAAAAATGTAATAAGATCTTTGAGAGATAAATTAGCATTTGGATCAGAGAAAATGTTTAACAGCACCAAGCTAGGAATAGGTTGAACCTTTTGATTAGATATATTACTTGGTTCCTGGAAGACATCTTTTCAAAACAGACTTTCTCACAATCCCAGCTCATATGAAAAATAGTTTACTATTAAATTGCAACGTCTCCAACATTTCAGAGAGCTATGGTGGAAAAATCTGTGATATCTTAATTGGTGTTAGATACAACAGATACATTAATTTATATATTGATTCCTTAGATTGTGCAAAGAT